TACTATATAAAAAAATTAGTATTTTTTTTTACAACCGAAAATGATATAAGATGTTCAATAAATACATTAAAATACTAACTATATTTTGGATTTAGTTTGGTGTGAGATAGTTTATTAAAAAATATATGCACTTCGAGTGCACCTTAGCGTTATACGAGTTTCACATTAATGACTACCAAAGTGCACTATACCGATCGAAACCGGCTAACTAAGTTTTTGGTTCAAATTTTATCTCAGTTCGATTTTTTTTTTTACCTCTAAAATTTTAGTTATTTCAGTTTGTTTTCATATTTAATTTTTAAAATGACCGAAATAATTGAACTGACAAATTATATAAAATATTCGAGTTTGTAAATATTTTTATAAAAAATAATGTTTTTTTGAACAAAAAAACGCATAAGAAGAAAATTTCTTCCAGTTTGGATTACACAATAACGACATAAACCTTGCACAATAATATAAGAAGAACTGCACATTAGTGATTGTTCGACTGCACAATACCAAACAAACTAACCAAAAATAAAATTTTTGTTTGATTTTTCATATTTCAACTCAATTATCAATTTATTACATTTAAAATTTAGATTGTTTCGATAAATCATCGATTTTATTTTTCAAAAAAAAAAAATTCATAATACCGCAACGACTAAACAGAAAATATTATTATTAATAATTATTATTATTTCACTAAATTCGGTTCACTTATTAATATTGTGCAAATTATTAATTAATATGGTGTAATCTTAAATTTTACAAAATTATGATTTTAACCCTTGAATCAGATTGAAACAAACTATTTTTCATAACTTGCAAGTAGGTTCCTATTATTTATCTAATTTCCAAACTTAAGCCCCAAAACTCATTCCCAGCACCTCCTCGTTCTTCACCCAAATCGACGATGTTCCTTCGCACGCGACCGTCGGACACGAATTAATCACCGTCAATCGATACCGGATATGGCATCCTCAAAATAAAAAAAACATATTCAAATTGGTTGTTGAAATTGAACTTTATGAATTATAAAGGGGCTCGATTTTTATTGACCAACGCGGAGAATATGCAGAGCACAGGAGATCGAAAAGGAATATGATGGCGACGATGATGGCGTGACACAGCCGGACGCCGGCGACGTCAGCCGGCGGATCGGTGAAACTGGCGGAGAACGGGGGCTCGGGATTCTGGAAGAGAGAGAGAGAGAGAGAG